ACACACACACACACACACACACACACACACACACACACACACACACACACACACACACACACACCGCGTGTGAGTATAATATGCACTCTTGATAATATGCAGGTACTATCAGCGCTGCCACGACACACAACGTGTAGAGCGTAGGAGGAGGGACTGCCAGCTCTGCAAGTTACGCAGCTCGATACAGATTTTGATCTTATTTGCAAGTAAGGACATTATCACTATATTCCCATCGCATGACTCATGGAAATCTATTGATATGAGTATGCGTGTTTAAATTAAATGTGTATACGACTCGATGACTAAGAGATATATGAGGATAGATAATAGATCTCTTCGTGGTTTATCACTAGTATGACCAGTTCATTGTATAGCCAGTTCATAGTATAGCCAGTTCATAGTATAGCCAGTTCATTGCACATTTTAAACCCGGTCGAGGTATTCATGCAGTGGCTGTAGCCGTTTTACCATGACCATGCACTCTGGCATATTGTATGTTTGATGTGTACCTTTGCCTAAAATAACATCGCAGCGTGCAAACAGTCGCCGGGGACTGCGTTCGTTGTTTGCGTCATAATAGTTAAAATACAGGACATTTTGAACCGATATACAGGAAACACACACCGAACATTCGCGTCGACATAGCTAGCTACGATCTTGCAATGCCAAGCACCGCCAGACCGAGTCTAGTCGATCACTGCTACACATCGTATATATCCCATATAATTGTATATAGTTACGTCGTGTATGTAATTTTACACACGCTGTCGTAGAAGTCGCAACCTCGTAACACCGTAAATAATAATCTTCGAAAGCAAAGGGCTCATAACGCAGAAGGAGAGAGTGAAGATTGGGTCTATCTCAACACTGCAGACTGCAGCAGTTATAGGAGCTGCGACACGCCAGCAGCATGGTGGGCATCACGGCCGTGACGAAGCTGGACAGCCTTGTCAAGGGCAACAAGTCTACTTTGATGAACTCGTCCGTCATCTTTCTCACGTTCAGCAGCGAAGAAATCTTCCAGAAGATCGTCTTCCAGTGTCCGTGCCAGAAACCGCAGAGCACTCTGTACGGCGCGAGCTTCCTGTTTGTACCAGCATTAGCGCTCTTTATTGTTGGTGAGTTGTATTCGGGCAATTGGAGCGATCATACAACACAAGAATCAAGATATATCTCACAAGAATTTCTCTCCAGGGTGCATATTGTCTTTACAATTTATACGAAAACTCCACGGTGAGTTAAGTTCTAGCTATCCGGGCGTCAATACAACAGAATTTCATCTTCTCATCTTTAATAACTTCTCTTAGGGGTGCATATGGTCGTTACGGATTTTACGAAAATCTCACTACGAGTTTATTTCTAGCTATTGGGGTGACCATACAACTTTAATTCATATAACAATTTATGCCAAGGCTACATATAGTGTCTTGGAAGTTTTTACGAACCCCCCATACACTTATTACAACATTCCTATTATAGAATTCTTTGTCATATAACGATATAGGTATTAGGAACTAATAATACAGTGACATTACTTAAAAAACAGGTATATTGGTCAACAACGTCACATGGCGTTTGTTCACCGGCTGCTGTTATCGCACTCGGTCGACCCACCATGGCTGCCGCAAGGGTTCGGTCTACCTGGTTAAGATCATCATGCAGGCGCTGGTGGCTCCGGCAGCCTGGATTTTTATAGGCTTCATCGACGGAAGGTGAAAACCTCATTTACTAGAAATCGGTTCGTGTCGCATCTCAGCTTTCCCGCTGTACGTTCATCAAGGGAATTCCTATAGCGAAGCACCCGTAAACCGTTATACTGTATAACAGTATATTATAAAGTCCAATGTACTATCAATACCTAAGTGCTTATAAGCGATTTTGCGCGGTATAGTTGCAGTGTAACACCATTTAAATGTTACGATGGAATTTCACAATTTTTAACGAATGACTACGTAAATATTACCAAGGTACCCAACCATGCATGAGGTTTAACGTGGATTCTATAAAGCCTATACAATATATCACTACTACGCAAACTGCAGTTCATAAACGTGCTCTTGATGTATTTCTTCTCACTATCAGGAGTGCATAATATAATATATTGTATCTCTGCATTGTGCCCTCCCGGTACGGGGCGCGTTGTCAAAGTTATCATGAATAGTTATGACTATCACAAGCGTCAAATGCCATTAGTTTTGCATGATCTTTCCCTTTAAAAGTTTAGACAATTAAAACAAACAATTTTGACTCATGGCATTGTAACTACCTATGATGTATCTAACAACGTCCCCTCCTCTGATGTTAAGGTACTATGTGTGCGCGAAGTCGGACGACCCGTGCAACGTCGACGACCCACATTGCCTGTGCCTGTGTGTGTGCGTGTCTATATAATATGCCTGTGCCTGTGTGTGTGTGCGTGTCTATATAATATGCCTGTGCCTGTGGGTGTGCGTGTCTATATAATATGCCTGTGCCTGTGGGTGTACGTGTCTATATAATATCCCTGTGCCTGTGTGTGTGCGTGTATATATATATATGCTTGTGCCTGTGTGTGTGTGTGTGTGTGTGTGTGTGTGTGTGTGTGCGTGTCTATCCCTGTGCCTGTGCGTGTGCGTGATGCGCCTGTGCTCTATGCGTACACATCAGGAATGTATAATATAGATACACGCTCTATATTATACACACTATATTATACACTCATGGTCACCTCGTGTAGGCGCCCGCGTGATACTGGCGTGTCGTGACATGCAGCGAGGGAATCGAGCAGCCTCCGATATCACCCAGCAGACGGGCAACACTAACGTCGTGGTGCGTAAGCTCGATCTCTCCTCGTTCGACTCCGTGAGGCAGTTCGCCGAGGGCGTGTTAGACACAGAGCCGAGAATACACATACTCGTCAACAACGCAGGTAAGCAGGGCGGGGCGTGTGCACGTATATGTATGGTTGTAGTCACCTGTCGGCAAGTGCCCTATAGCTGTGGGCTCAACGCTTGTGTTTATGAATTATATCCAGGATTAATAACAGCTTATTATTATATTATGGTCTTATACATCTTATTGTTTACCTTATTATGGTGTTATCACCTCTTGGTTATATGATTATGCGTACTGCTCAGATAAGTTTGTGTGCATGCGCGCGTGATCATAGATTTATGTTAGGAAGTACAGCATGAACGGATAATAGAACGGAAGTGGAGTGTGACACTAACAGCAACGCCACCTGCAAACGCCACATCGGCAGTGGAACTAACAAGTCAGCTATCCATGTGTTGTGTATATCTATGATTTATGTTAGGAAGTACAGCGTGAACGGATAATAGCCGTGCGTCGTTCGTAGTTGTCTTCTGAAAGTAAAACGTGATAACGCATTAAATTATGAATCGAAAAAGATCCGTCTAGTAAAAGACATCGCCCAGGCCATTCATGCTTTTCAGGTCTTCTTCTACTGCATGTGGTGTGTGTGGTGTGGCGTGGTGTATGTGGTGTGGCGTGTTTGTGATGTGGTGCGGTAGTTCTTGTTGAGTGTTTGGGGGGGGTACGTGCGTGCGCGCGTTTATAAACCGTTTAGCTGTTTGTGTCCATCAACTTTCAAATATTACATGCGTGTACACGTGCGTGCATGCGTGCGTGTGTTCACGTGTGTGTGTGTGTGTGTGTGTGTGTGTGTGTGTGTGTGTGTGTGTGTG